GACATATAAAATACTCAGGGGAATTGACAAAGTGGAAATAGATCAAATGTTCACACGTAATAATAACAGAACGAGGGGACATGGGTGGAAACTGGAAACTCAGATGAGTCACAGAGATGTTAGGAAGTTTTCTTTTAGCGTGAGAGTAGTAGAAAAATGGAATGCACTTGGGGAACAGGTTGTGGAAGCAAATACTATTCATACTTTTAAAACTAGGTATGATAGGGAAATGGGACAGGAGTCATTGCTGTAAACAACCGATAGCTAGAAAGGCGGGATCCAAGAGTCAATGCTCGATCCTGCAAGCACATATAGGGGAGTACATATAGGTGAGTACACACACACACACACACACAGTGTCAGTAGTTGACAAATGGAATGCATTAGGCAGTGATGTGGTGGAGGCAGACTCCATACACAGTTTTAAATGTAGATATGATAGAGCCCAGTAGGCTCAGGAATCTGTACACCTGTCGACTGACGGTTGAGGGGCGGGACCAAAGAGTCGAAACTCAACCCCCGCAAGCACAACTAAGTGACTACAACTATGTGAGTACAGACACCACAATGCAGATAAAAACGGTGTTGTAACAGGCAGCATACCGAGTGTAACTGGTACAATGAACAAAGCAGCATTGTTCCAAATAAGAATCATTAGAACCAGAGGATACAGATGGAGGATACAAGTGTAGGATACAGGGGTAGGATACAGGTGTTGACCAGACCACACACTAGAAGGTGAAGGGACGACGACGTTTCGGTCCGTCCTGGACCATTCTCAAGTCTCACAATCGACTTGAGAATGGTCCAGGACGGGCCGAAACGTCGTCGTCCCTTCACCTTCTAGTGTGTGGTCTGGTCAACATACTTAAGCCACGTTATTGTGACTTATCGCCTGCGTAGGATACAGGTGTTGGATACAGACACACGCTAACCGGAGATACGCCAATAATAATTATCTTTTGTATCAGTTGAGAGCAAATGGACTGAGATACAAGGAATAGAAATCACTGCATTATGTAACCCAGGGGTGGTAAGGATGGGGGGGGGTAATGAGCTGATGTTCGTTCCCGATAACACATCTAGGTAAGTAAACGAGAAGGCGAGATCAAATCAGTATCGCAGGTTCGATCCCAATGTTCTGCTCCAAGGGTTTTCTCATGGATACAACACGTGATTGGGATTTGATGGTGTAGGCGAGTACACAAACTCACACTAGGCAAGCCAGGAATGTTTAACAATACACAATGAAGCCCACTAGTTCCTAACCAAGTTGGCTAAAGCGACTCTCCTATTTTCATCCCCAGTTGCCAAGTATTGTTGGAGAGTTTGGTACTAGTGGCTCCATTATCATCTTGTGTGTGTGTGTGTGTGTGTGTGTGTGTGTGTGTGTGTGTGTGTGTGTGTGTGTGTGTGTGTATGTGTGTGTGTGTGTGTGTGTGTGTATGCGCTCGCGCGTGTGGGTGTGTGGGATGTAGGTGTGAGGGGTGTGTGGTTGTATTTTGCACTGAATGTGTGTGCGTGTGGTTGTATTTTGCACTGAATGTGTGTGCGTGTGGTTGTATTTTGCACTGAATGTGTGTGCGTGTGGTTGTATTTTGCACTGAATGTGTGTGCGTGTGGTTGTATTTTGCACTGAATGTGTGTGCGTGTGGTTGTATTTTGCACTGAATGTGTGTGTGTGTGTGTGTGTGTGTGTGTGTGTGTGTGTGTTTAGCATTCACTCCACATTTGCTTCAGATTTGTTAATTAGCCTCACCTGCTACCTTATCGATACCTCAATGTATCTTTAATAGAGTGAACATGTCCCTTGTTGAAACGACAGGGAGGAGACCAGGGAAGCCAGTTCTAACTGCCTCCTGTCTCAAAAAAACGACTCTCATCAGCAATGAGGCCTTGATAGCAGGTATGATAACTTACTACCAACCATTTCCCACTAGACATCAAAAGATAGCTTCCAAGAAAAAGCTTAGTTATTTCATCTAGATTAAACAGAGCATATATCAGACTATGAGAAGCCTAAGCATAATCGATTTTCAGTTATCCAAATAAATTAGGTAATTAGTCAATGTGTATCGGAGAAGAGTTAAATAGTAAGTGTGGCGGTGTTTTGAAAATGTAAACACATTTCAACAATGTTTACTATGGTTAGACAAGCAGGTACTTGAAGCTTTTATAGTGGAAGACAAGAGTGTTCAACAGTGTCAACAGTGTTTATCAGTGTCAACAGTGTTCAACAGTGTTCAGCAGTGTCTAACCCAATCCATGGAGGATTTAAAACATTTATAGATTCTAGTTAGTACTGTATAAATGTATGGTCACGTCTGTGGTGTAAGACAAGCTGAATAATAAGAAGGATCAAATGCTATTTTTGGGATTCGTGTATAATTCATCCTCAAAAACATGTCTATAAAAAGAAAGTAATAGGATCTCCTTTTGTATATATGAACTTCAATTTCTTCAGGACAGTGGATATTAGATTTAGTGAGTATGTACTAAAATAACACTTTGATGTTTATCCCAGTTCCCGAGTGATCTGATGCTAATCTTCCCTCTCCAGGTGACCTTCAAGGAGGCCTTCGCGTCAAGTTCAGTGCTAAGTTTCACTTACGAGATGGAGAGTGAAGGTAAGCTACCTTTCCTAGACGTAACAGTCTGGGAAAGGAATGGCAGCTTTCACATTGCAGTCTACAATGCACATAGGAACGTGCATTAATACTGGTAGCAAGTGTCCTAATAGATACAGGCAGAGTGTTGTCAATGCCTATGTCACGGACTATGTCAATGTCAATGACTATGTCAAATGTGCTGTCACACAGCTCCAGTTGGAAGCAGTTTGACGAGGAATTCGGTGTATATAACGTCCAATTTTTTTATAATACACTATCGACATTAAAGTGTATTTTAAAAATACATATACTCAGGCATATAAGGATGAAAATGCGATACGAGATAATGATTAATAGGAATTATAAACCTTGCAGTGAAAACGCAAGGTTTCGTCCTGTAGTTTATTGTAACAATACTCAAACAGCTTCCCTTATTATGAGAAATAACATCTCTACCTCCTCTGACACACTGAAGTGTACTAATGCAGCTCTGGAGACGGTGCGCTCCGAGATATATGGTACACTGGACATACCCCGGATACACTGTTTAGACGTCTAACACTTCATTTGCAAGACGGAGGTATTAAGCAATATCATCCTCAACACTATCATGAATCACCAAGACATAACGAAAGATACGACAATAATCACAGGCAGCGACGATCGCAGGAGACTCCGTACGATTAATGCTGCGTTCATTCAGGAGCTGACGCCAGTAATCAACATTCAGATCAATTCTATTTCAAACATACAGCTATTTGGTGGACCTCCATTGACCCAGAGGGAAGATGGCAGACCTGGTGGACAACTAGAAGCTGTCGCTACAACAAGCTACAATTAGAAGTAGAGTCGGTCGGCCGAGTGGACAGCACGCGGGACTTGTGATCCTGTGGTCCTGGGTTCGAACCCAGGCGCCGGCGAGAAACAATGGGCAGAGTTTCTTTCACCCTATGCCCCTGTTACCTAGCAGTAAATTAGGTACCTGGGTGTTAGTCAGCTGTCACGGGCTGCTTCCTGGGGGTGGAGGCCTGGTCGAGGACCGGGCCGCGGGGACACTAAAAGCCCCGAAATCATCTCAAGATAACCTCAAGATAGATCCTTCGGCGCTCCCTATGATTAAGGTTAGATGAAGCGTAGAGGTGAACCCACACTTATAAATGTCTATGTTTCTGCATATAAGCTTCACGGGCTCACTTTAGCCCGTGCTACATTGACATTTCGTTCCGAGAAGCTAAATCTAGAACAACAACATAATAAGCAGTTACAGCCCCGCTCCTGTGCCAGGAAAGTCCACTATGGGCTCACCATAGCCAGTGCTACTTTTAACTTTTTGTTCCGAGGGGCTGAATCTAAAATAACAACAGCTGCATATAAACTTAGTATACCTGCAACCAGGAGGCCTAGTCGACGACCGGGCCGCGGGGACGCTAAGCCCCGGAAGCACCTCAAGGTAACCTCAAGGTAACCTGTGTCTTCTGTGCAGTTATGTATTCATAAAGATGTCACATTGCTGACGAAACTTCGAACAATAAAAATGGAAAGATTAATTAATCTAATGTTTCTTCTCCCTCTAGAAGGTATTTATGTAGAATGGAAAAATTACCCATAAGAAAATTACTAACAGTCACAATGTTGCTGTGTTTAATAACCTTAATAACCTGGGTACAAGAGAAAACCTCTTGTATATATATATATATATTATATATATATATATATATATATATATATATATATATATATATATATATATATATATATATATATATATATATATATATATATATATTATATATATACTTTAAATATTGTAAACTGTTTAAAGGTAGACACTTCGCTTTCAGCATCTCAGTGTTGGATTAGGAAGGAAGCCAAGACGTATAATCGTCATGACTCAACACTTTATGTACCTCAAAACAGGAGAGTGTAGCCAACTCTAAGGGGGGGGGGCAGGAGGAGGAGGGAGGTGGAGAGAGAATGTCACCTTTGGGGCAGTCGCCAGGGGTAAGAAATAATCATGAGAAAGCGTCAAACCATTATGACAATATAACACTTTGAGATCAGTTTTTTTTTGGGGGGGGGGTGGGAAGGGAAAGGCATGTTGCCCAGCCACTTGGACGGTCGGGGATTGAACGCCGACCTGCATGAGGCGAGACCGTCGCTCTACCGTCCAGAGCATAACCAGTACCCCCAGATGCTATGTCATCCCACAGAACCAACACCACCTTCGCCAGCCATTCCAACTTTCCCCATCAACCCCGGACGGTGACCTCGACATATCTACCACCCAACCCCCTCCATTTTTATACCTACCCTCCCCCACTCCACCGACCTTCTCCTCCCCCTCCTACCACAGAGAACTCCCCCGCCAACACACCACATTGGAGAGGCCGCGTCTCTGGGCCATTAGTGAGCTAGTGGCTGCAGTGAGCACTCATCCCTTGGAGCCTCTCCTGTCAAAACGTTGCCGCTGCGCGCGAGATTATATTCCGCCGTTATCTGAACAACATTCCTGACCACGTTTTTAGGTTTTTGCCTCTGTGGACCCTCTTGTTGTAAGGCGGGTCATATAGCCACGTCTGGAGGCTGTTAGTGCGTTCGACAGTGCTTCGCTGAGTTGGTGAAGTATTTTTGTATCTGTGTATCACAAGTGTGTTCAGTGAGGAACCGGGACGATGGAAGGATCCGAAGAACACTCGTCTGTCCTCATGAGTGAGGACAAGTCCATAAATGAGACGGACGTGAAGACGTCTCTCACACACGTCCAAACAGATGACGACGATCCTGACAAGTTCAAGTTCTCTCTTCAGGTAAGATAAGTCCTTTTTTCTTCACTTACTCAACTAATCACTATTAACATTCTTGCGCTATGGGCCTACATATTCCAGGGAAAGGAAGCTTGCGACCGGATGACCTCACATCACCTCCGGATTGCTAAGCCACTCGTAATAATTAACAACAGTCGCTCGTGTTACACGTTCAGAGGGCGAGAATGCAAAATATATCATTTTATTTTTAACAGGACAGTTTTCATAATTCTCATTTACTCCCAACTGAAGTGATTTCTAACTCGTGCATATTAGTAAAATGCTCTTTACTTCACTCTATGGAGGCAGTTCGAATCCCAGAGAGGTAGTGGATGCAAACACAACCATATATGCACGAACCGCAAGTCACTGGCAGACTTGCAGATTCTTGTGGTATCTGCCAATTAAAAGTTCATCTATTTTTTTCTCTCAGGGAGAGAGGGGAGATCTTTTCTGTCTCTCTCAGGGAGAGAGGGGAGATCTTTTCTGTCTCTCTCAGGGAGAGCGGAGATCATGCTCCTAATGATCTTGAGGTTATCTTGAGATGATTTCGAGGCTTAGCGTCCCTGCGGCCCGGTCCTCGACCAGGCCTCCTTTTTGTTACACACCCCCAGGAAACAGCCCGTAGCAGCTGTCTAACTCCCAGGTACATATTTACTGCTAGATAACAGGGCATCAGAGTGAAAGAAACTCTGCCCATTTATTTACGCCTCCACTGGGGATCGAACCCGGAACCTAAGGACTATGAATCCGAAGCGCTGTCCACTCAGCTGTCAGGCCCCTAAAGCTATGAGCTGTTATCTTTCATTAGCTCATATAAAGCCAGATTCTCAGTACTCATTTATTTGATAAGTTTATGTTGACCAAAGAGAGAGAGTGGACATAATAAATTTATAAGTATTATTATTACTTTTCAATAACACTAAATTTGACCTAATGCTAATTTACTAGTTAGTTACTATATATATCCTGACCCAACTGTGTACCAGAGCCTTCTTTAAGTCGGTTGACTTGATTTCACACGTATTAATGTGTTGAGTGAATGTTTTCAGTCAGTCACTCAACACATTAATGCTGTCGAGTGAATGTTTTCGGAAATAATGATCCGAAAAAAAACATGATTTTAAGGGTTGACAAATGTTTATCTTTTTGTCTGAGACGCTGTTCACTAAGTTAAGCAAGTCCCAGCTGTGTCTGGGTACAAGTGACAGGATTAACAACCCATCGGGGTTTTTTCCTATTGGGGAGTGTTGTACATGCTGCTATGGCGGTGTGTCCACTCACAGGATGAGTGGCGCTGCCCAATACTGTCACTATGGCGGTGTGTCCACTCACAGGATGAGTGGCGCTGCCCAATACTGTCACTATGGCGGTGTGTCCACTCACAGGATGAGTGGCGCTGCCTAATACTGTCACTATGGCGGTGTGTCCACTCACAGGATGAGTGGCGCTGCCCAATACTGTCACTATGGCGGTGTGTCCACTCACAGGATGAGTGACGCTGCCCAATACTGTCATTATGGCGGTGTGTCCACTCACAGGATGAGTGGCGCTGCCCAATACTGTCACTATGGCGGTGTGTCCACTCACAGGGTGAGTGACGCTGCCCAATACTGTCATTATGGCGTTGTGTCCACTCACAGGATGAGTGACGCTGCCCAATACTGTCACTATGGCGGTGTGTCCACTCACAGGATGAGTGACGCTGCCCAATACTGTCATTATGGCGGTGTGTCCACTCACAGGATGAGTGACGCTGCCCAATACTGTCACTATGGCGGTGTGTCCACTCACAGGATGAGTGGCGCTGCCCAATACTGTCATTATGGCGTTGTGTCCACTCACAGGATGAGTGACGCTGCCCAATACTGTCATTATGGCGTTGTGTCCACTCACAGGATGAGTGACGCTGCCCAATACTGTCATTATGGCGGTGTGTCCACTCACAGGATGAGTGGCGCTGCCCAATACTGTCACTATGGCGTTGTGTCCACTCACAGGATGAGTGACGCTACCCAATACTGTCACTATGGCGGTGTGTCCACTCACAGGATGAGTGGCGCTGCCCAATACTGTCACTATGGCGGTGTGTCCACTCACAGGATGAGTAACGCTGCCCAATACTGTCACTATGGCGGTGTGTCCACTCACAGGATGAGTGACGCTGCCCAATACTGTCATTATGGCGGTATGTCCACTCACAAGATAAGTGGCGCTGCCCAATACTGTCACTATGGTGGTGTGTCCACTCACAGGATGAGTGGCGCTGCCCAATACTGTCACTATGGCGGTGTGTCTACTCACAGGATGAGTGACGCTGCCCAATACTGTCACTATGGCGGTGTGTCCACTCACAGGATGAGTGGCGCTGCCCAATACTGTCACTATGGCGTCATGTCCACTCACAGGACGAGTGGCGCTGCCCAATAAACTCGCCCCTCGGGGCAAAATTAACAGTAATTTACGAGGGTAGAAATAACCTAAGCTATTCTATCCTTTTGATACATATACTTTCTTTTCTCAATAAACTTGGACTTCAGACCAAGGTGCTCAGCATTAAACAACCTCATGCAGGCTTTGCCTTTCTCGTGAACAACACACCAAAATAGATAATTAATTCCCAGGCTGACTCGCATTTTGAAAACCTTCACTCGACACATAAATACGTGTGAAATCAATCGTTGGTCAACAAAAAACATCAAATAAATTGTTTCCGAGAGTTTGGCTTTATTTGAGCTAATGACGCATTTATGTGTCGAGTGAAGGTTTTCAAAATGCGAGTCAGCCTGGGAATTAATTATCTGTTTTGGTGTGTTGTTCACGAGAAAGGCAAAGCCTGCATGAGGTTGTTCAATGCTGAGCACCTTGGTCTGAAGTCCAAGTAAGTTTATTGAGAAAAGTATATTTATCAAAAGGATAGAATAGCTTAGGTTATTTCTACCCTCGAAAATTACTGTTAATTTTGCCCCGAGGGGCGAGTTTATTGGGCAGCGCCACTCATCCTGTGAGTGGACATGACGCTATAGTAACAGTATTGGGCAGTGTCACTCATCCTGTGAGTGGACACACCACCATAGTGACAGTATTGGGCAGCGTCGCTCATCCTGTGAGTGGACACACCGCCATAGTGACAGTATTGGGCAGCGTCACTCATCCTGTGAGTGGACACACCACCATAGTGACAGTATTGGGCAGCGCCACTTATCTTGTGAGTGGACACACCGCCATAATGACAGTATTGGGCAGCTCCACTCATCTTCTGAGTGGACACACCGCCATAGTGACAGTATTGGGCAGCGCCATTCATCCTGTGAGTGGACACACCGCCATAGGGACAGTATTGGGCAGCGCCACTCATCCTGTGAGTGGACACACCGCCATAGTGACAGTATTGGGCAGCGTCACTCATCCTCTGAGTGGACATACCGCCATAGTGACAGTATTGGGCAGCGCCACTCATCCTCTGAGTGGACACACCGCCATAGTGACAGTATTGGGCAGCGCCACTCATCCTCTGAGTGGACACACCGCCATAGGGACAGTATTGGGCAGCGTCACTCATCCTGTGAGTGGACACACCGCCATACCAACATGTACAACACTCCCCAATAGGAAAAAAACCCGCTGGGTTGTTAATCTTGTCACTTGTACCCAGACACAGCTGGGACTTGCTTAACTTAGTGAACAGCGTCTCAGACAAGAAGATTAACATTTGTCAACCCTTAAAATCATGTTTATTTTCTGATCATTTTTTCGGAAATCGGATCAAGACTCAATGTTACACTCTCTCACCTCCCGCGGTCTCTGGACACCGATCTCAGGATAGTTGTAGAGTACTCTAAGACGTCATCATACAACGGTAATTACCGAACAAGTGATCCAGGACATCAAATTACAGCGGCAACAACCAAACAAGTGATCTAAGATGCTGAGGACGGTCTTGAAGACGTGCACGATCTTACAAGGGCACCATTGTCCAGGGTGTACACACTTTAACCTTCTTAAGAGTGTTGATATTGATGCTGAGAACACCCATACATTTTAGAGGGAAGGAGGGAGGGTGGGAAGAAGAGAGATGGAAGATGGAGAGGGATTGGGTGGGAGGGAAAGAGAAAATTAATAGGGAAGGGGAAGGAGGAAATCAGAGTTGGAAGAGGTAGGGAGGGTAGCAGGAAGGAAAGGCATGTAGTGATGGGTCGGGAAGAGGAGGGATATATCAAATCATGTAGAGATGAGAGAGATGGGAGAGAGAGAGAGAGAGAGAGAGAGAGAGAGAGAGAGAGAGAGAGAGAGAGAGAGAGAGAGAGAGAGAGAGAGAGAGAGAGAGAGAGAGAGAGACGGATGGATATAGGAAGGCATGTAGACACTTTTGTAGTGTCTTTTCCTATGAGACACTCGGACTATGCTCCCTACCTATATAAACAACGGGAGAAAGCTATAGCGATGAAGACAGCATGACAACAGAAGCGTACGCGATAAACCTGCACATGGAACGCACAATTAACCTTAATAACAATATATGACGAGGTTATCAGCTGGGAACACTAACTGCTGGTGTTCGTCCTCCCACAAAAACTCTCTGGAGAATGGGGTCGTGATAAACAGAAGGCTCTCCCATTACTCTCCACCTTTGCCTCTCAGTGGCAACAGGTAAATGAGGTTGGTCCACCCCTGTGTTATCTGGATCATACCTGGAGAGGGTTTCGGGAGTTCTACTACTCCTCGAACCCGGCCCCGACTTGTAATAACTTGTTCCAACAGGCTGTTGATTTAGGTGGCCCGCAGGCCCACCTATGTTACTCATGTATTATAGAGGTAATTGTCCACCCTGTGGCACTCTCCTGCGAGTATTGCAAAGGTGGACTGAGAGCTATCAGAACTTTCTACTACAGACTTAAGAGTAATTGGGACAGTCAGACTCCATGGGGGAAGGTGACGCATCCCACCACGTAATATTTATCAGCTGGAGCCCATGAGCTATTGCTCAGTGGTAAAAACCTGCG